TTTTTTCCTTATCCTCTGCAGGTGCAGGTGCAGACAAGCAGAGAAGACCAAGTACTGGGTTTAATCAAGGCTGGGTTTTATCAGGTGAGTATGACCAAGAAACAGGGAGGTGAGCATGTAGGCAGTGTACTATCTTACAGTGCAAGACCATGGAGTAAATGCTACCACATTATCTATATTCCCTAACTCCTTGACATCTTTACTGCATTCCAGTCTACTCATTTTGGCTTTCAAGTAAGTACTATGTTAGGATAAAATGCAAGGGCACTGTTGGAGGACAGCAGTGAATAAAAACAGGGACAGGTTAACAATAGATTCAAAGAAGTTGTTCATGAGATACAGCCACTAGAAAGCTGACAAAATGCCCTGCCTTAAATGATGGTATGGTTTTACTTTCTCCACAGAGGAATAAATATCATTTATTTGGCTGTATACCATAAGCTTTTATACCTCTATTATAATTGTAAGCAATTTTACTGTGGGAATGTTTCTTTGTGATGGAAGGAGATAAAAGTAGAGCTGCACTGCAAAAATCTCAAATTAGAACTGCAAAGTAGGTGCTGCACTGATTGCGTCATTCTTCTTTCAAGTCCTTTCCTTGAGATTGAGAACAAATCAAGCAAAAGTGTTACTGAACTCTAATAGATGTAGACAATCTAGAGCAATGCCTTGAACATACTATAATAGGTGTTCATTAAACATCTGAAGAATGAATGGAGGACAAAATGAATTGGAGCAATGTGGGAAATCTTGAAATCAGTAAGAACTTAAAAAAAACCGCATTGAAATACATTCTTTTTGTTTTAAACTGTTCTATTTCTTTAAATTTATTTCCATCTACTTTCCTAAATTCTCTTGAGAATTTAAGCTGAAACATTATCCTTAAGCTACCAAAGCGACTGAGAAAATCAAGACAATTAATCTGACAATATATTGAAACAAAACCCTGGGTGTGGTAGAGTATATTAATTCTTTGTTTTTCTGACCTTTCTATACTTATCTCTTTCTTCATTTAAGTCCTTGACTTTTTTCTCATAGTCTTTGAATTGTTTCTTTTCCTCTTCAGACCATACAGCATCAGGTTTTACTATGAAAGCAGGTGGAGGAATCACCTGAAGATACAAAGGAAAGCATACACTATGGCTCAAATGTAAATGTAGCAGTACAATAAAAGCTCAAAGTTATAATTATAGTTTAAAAAAAAAGAGTCTTCACATTGGCAAGACAATGTATGACCTGACACTTTGACCGAAGGATGTGAAAAAATTGTTATAATTGTTTTTCTATGACGTAAGCAAGGGTGGGCAGTTTAGGATACCCAGACTCTTAGGTGACAGGTTCGGAGGTGTATGTTCATATCTTCATACCTAGAACAACACCTGACACCTATGTCAGGTGTCAAAGGGAGTGTTTCTTGGTGTATCTGGAGACTTACAGGTGCCGCATTAGCCCTGCTTTCTGTAGAGACCAAAACCACTCTGGTTGCTTGGTTTTGTTTATTTGCTTGTTTGTTTGTTTTGTCAGATTGGAAGACAGGCCTGGGGTTTCAAATTTCTTATTTGTCTGATGTTGTATGTTTATAAGGTTGTGTATTTGTTGCTGTAGAATTTCTAAAACTCAGGTTCATATAGCAAAAGTGGTCAAATTTAAGTGCACTCTCCACTCCATTCCACCTTCCACAAGAATGTTCAGAAATCTCACCATTCTCAAAATGTCTTCCTTCTTGACTTCCAGAACTCCTCCCATCATGTCCATCAGGGCTCGGCGTCTGGTGTTGGAGCCCTGAGGAGAAGCCAGGGTCAGTGAAGTTAGCTGAAACAGAGATCTGACCCTCTAGTGGCACCAGGGGCAGCCTCCTACCCAATGTTAGAATGACTGCATTTAGGATTGGGGAGGGTGGGCAGTGTGGCATGGAGGGGAGAGGGGAAAGAGGCCACTCAGAGTCCATTGACCTCTGACCATGACAAATGCCTTGAGGTGTTTCTATAGTGGAGTTCAATAACAAGGCTATTCAACCAAATTAGGAACCGGTATCCCTAAAGGAAAGGAGGGTCTTAGGTACTGTTGGAGCAAAACTGCATACCTGTGACAGAACCCCTTCCTCCATTTCATGGGCTGCAACTAATCCTGCTTTGACTTTTTGCCACAGATTAACATGTTTTTGAGCAATAATCTGAAAAGAAAATATGATTTCCTGCTGTTATTCTTACAAAATTCAACCAAACTTTCCTTCCGCAGTCCAAGAGGAGGTTAGAAGTTATCAAGGGGATAAAGGGACTGTCCAGGTTTCAAAACCAATTTCCTATTTTGAAATAAAGATGAGGTCTAAAATGAAGAGTATTGAAAAAATAGATTGTTATTTCTCTATTAGCTCTCTAAGTCCATCTCCTTTACTAAAGAGATTATAACAGAGGACCTGACTTCGATTGGGGGGAGGAGGGAAGGGTCCAAAGAAGTGTCATCTAAGCCAAATCCTGCGGGATGAGGGTCCAGAGAGGTCAATTGTTTGGGACATGCAAGGAATTGTGAGAATGTAAGTGTGGCCAGAACAGAGCAAGGTGGGGAGAACAACTGGAGGGAAGGGGGCCCAGGGTAGGCATGTGGGTGTTATCAGGAGTGAGATGAACAGGCACTGCAGGGGTTAAGCAGGGGAAGGACATATGTTTGGTTTTAGCAAGGTCACTCTCCTGAATGTAGCGGGGAATAGCACGGTGGGGTAAATTATGCACATACAAAGTGACTGCTCAGAGCAGGACACTGGTGAGAACAGCCAACTGAGGTCCTTGGGTCTTAGGTCATGTGGCAAGAGTCTGGTTATGGAAGAAACGACTTCCTTAAACAATACAGTCGAGTGCAGAGGTTAAGTGGATGTACTCTGAAGTATAATTGGGTTCAAACCCTAACCCTGTTACTGACCAGCTTTGTAACTGTGGTCAAGCTACTTAACCTCTCTGTGCCTCAGTTTCCTCATCTATAAAATGGAGGTAATATTAGTACCTATCTTATAAGGTCTTATAATGATAAATTATCTCAATCTATCTAGGGTACTTAGAACAGTGCCTGGCTTTTAACTGGGGCTGTGCTGTGTAAGTGTTCGCTGTTACTTCTAAGCAACACTATTGCCTCAAAGTAATTTAATTGATTTCATGTGAGCAAGGGGTTTTCTTTGAGTATCCTCTAGCATTTTTTACTTTTAGAAATAAAATATGGTTATTTTAATTGTTTTCTTAAAGCATTTACTTGTAACTGCCTCTGGCCAAACACCCTTTAAGAAGGCCGCCCAGCAAGCCCCCTTTCTCTGGGACCCACTCTGCCCTAAAGACCTAGATAATTATTGGAGCTCTGTCAGCTTCCCCTCAGTGATGTGACCCAACCTCCCTGTGTATAAACACTGGATCCAGCTGGCCCAAGGAGACTCTTCCCAGGTAAATCCAGAATTGGGACTAAAAGATTCTGGTTCAGACCAGCTGCTCTCTCGAGAGTAGGAGATATAAAGTAGAAACTGCTGCAGCGGTTCTCAACCTTTCACAGGGGTCACCTAAGACCATCGGAAAACACATATTTTCAATGGTCTTAGGAACCGAGACACTCTCCTCTATCTGTCTCCAGGCCCACATGCAGATACGCCCACATACGAGTACCCAAGTACCCCGGCGACCCCTGTGAAAGGGTCGTTCAACCTTCAAAGGGGTCGCGACCCACAGGTTGAGAACCGCTGTGCTACAGGAAGCTGAAATGCAGAGAGAAGTGAGCTCAGAGATGAAGAAAAAGGACTTCCAAACTCCCTGCAAAGCTCCAGTCTGGGGTTCCTGTTTCTTTCTAGGCTCGGTATCCAAATCTTCCCTGAACCCTGTGGGACTCATAAAACAAACCCTCATTATTGCTGAGGCTATGTCAACTGTTCTTGGTACTTGTAACTGAGGATGCTACCGCTTCCAGTAGTACCATAGTAAGATGAATAAATAAGAGCTCGGGAAAATGTCATGAGAAAAAGGTGAAGGGATATTGTGACCCCCAGTACCTCACTATTTTCCACAACAAGGTTTCTCTCTGGCTTCTCATAGTCGTCCAATTCCGGTTGCCAGATTGATTCTTTCAGTTCCAGATCTAAAATGATTTCTTGAATTCTTATATTTCTTTCCTTTACACGTGCAATTTCAAACTCTTTTTGTTTATATGCAGCATCAAACTCATTATTGAAAGCAGTTTTTACCTTGTAAATGATATCCTGAAATATCAATATGCAACTGAAAATACATCACATATTATACCTTTACTGGTAACATGATTCCACAGTTTTCTTTCCCTCCAAAATCATTTACAAGTTATCAGTAAATTCATCTCTCTAAAACACTGTTTACAGTAAGTCATTTCTAGTAAGTCAGTCATTTATAGTAGGTATTTCTAGTAAGTCAGTAATCTACAGTTGGCATCTCACCATTGGTAAGATTAACGCAACCACTGTTACACCACAACTTCCCAAAACATAAGTTGTAACTCAGTGTGCAGGTGTGTTGATAAATGCTGAAGTGGGTGATAAATACTTGAAAGCTCTTTGGGATAGTCTCTCTACTTTTGTGTATATTCTTTAAAAAAAAATCCATCATAAAAGATGTAAAAGGCAATATGCAGTATTTAAATTGGGAAATGTCTTTTCTTTGGAACCATGGTGATGTGGCGAGGAAGAGACGGCCTACAGAGGTTGTTCAGAGACTCTCCCAGAGAAGCACAACCACACACAATACTTTTCCTCTGGATAGTCAGGTCATTCTCAAGTAGGAAGGGTACACAAGCCGGCTAGCTAGAGCAGCCAATTACTAAGGTGGCAGTGGATCCAACTGGATTGTCCTTACCTCTGCTGATGAGTCAAACAATGGGTCATCTCAAAGGGGCCTTTATTTTACCATCAAAGTTCAGTCTATATAGCCATCCTACTGATGACGAAATCAGTAAAGCAGGGTGGGAAAATGTCCTTAGAAGCTGGCACCAGGAAATTTCTCCAGGGCTGTAATTACCTTTTTATAGGAAAATGCTTTACAAAAGCAGCAGGAAAGTGAGACCCTGAGGGTATGGGTCAGCAGAAGCTGAGCAACAAAAGAGATAACTGAACAGTTCTTAGTATAAATGCACAGGAATTTCAGGGGTAGAAGGCGGAGAAGAGAAAAAGAGAGGAAGAGAGAGCAGAGTAACATGCAGGAGGCTGGAAATAATTGCAGACACAGCTGAAGGACTTTCAGGACCAGGAATGGCCAGCATTAAATTTCAAACTATTTGCACTGGTGCAAACAGTCACTCAGTTTTCATAATCTTCAGTAGGCATGCCCAGATGTGTTCTGAGACTGACTTCTTTGGTGGAAAGTAAGGGGTAGGAGCTTAGTGCTTGAGGGACACTGCACCCTATCCCTGAGCCCCAGAAGTTACACAAATCTTAGAGAGAAAATTGTATTTCCCCAGGTTAAAAGGATAGATTAGCAATCACATTTTGATCATACAAGGAGGTCCTACTTGACATCTGGGTTACCTAGAAGATGGCGTTCAAGGATTTCTTTTATCTTTGAGCTTACTGAAGATCTAGGTAGAAAAATGGTTTGTTTGTGGTGTCGGCCAGTATAGGATGTTCTTTTAAAAACCTGTTATCATAGAACTCAATCCAAATGAATAAAAGCAACTCTTGTATACAAGCTTAGTTTAAATAACATGAACGCTAGCCATCTGGATATTTCTCTGTGTACTTTAAAGACATCATTTGATGGGCATTAAATTTCAATTTGAGCCTTTGCAAGACAGGTCATAGAGATTTTTAAGGATTTTCAAGGATAAAAAAAAATTCACCCACTTTCAGTAATATAATTTGGTTGATTTTCTCCTCTCTGGAATGAAGTTCCAATTGGCTGGACAAGAAAGAGGCATGTACCCCAAAATCAGTACTCTGACTGCCAAGCAGGTAATTGGGTAAATTAGTGTCTTTTACTGCTACATCATCTTCCTCTTCTTCATCTTCTTCTTCGTGATGCTTTTTAACCAAGGTAATTGCAGACTGAAACTCTACAGTTTCCTTCCGTAGCTAAATACAGAAAAAGATGACATGGAAGTTATGCAATAATGAGAATTCTCTAAAGGGCAATTTTGTGACAACTTATTTCAACAATAATTTTAAGACGTTAAATTGTCTTGTCAACAACTGAATTCAAAGTGATGGCTAGATCCTGAAGCTGCTGCAGGAGAGATTAAAGCTTTGGAAACTGATAAACTGTGGATAAATCAAAAGAGTAAAAATTCTCCTTGATAGTATGTAATATTAACATCTTGCTGTCAGGATGACAGCTGCTCATAAATACTTTGAGTCTTTGTTGGTACTTAAACATTAAAAAAATACCTCTTCTTCATATTTTACAAAGGAACTCATTCATATAGGACTGGTGGATGTAGGTTAAGAAGAATTAAGTATACTTTCATTTTATGTTTCAGAAAAAGAATGAATGCAAGGTTCCTGCCGAACAAAAACTACATCAGTAGGGCATCGTTTGTTTGTTTGTTTGTTTGTTTGTTTGTTTGTTTTAGTAGTCATAGAGATTGCTGGGGTTTTTTGTTTGTTTGTTTGTTTTTTAAAGCTAGGAAAACCATAATTCTATCAAAACAGATACTACTTCACCTTTAGTCAGTTATCTCAAAATACAATGCCTAGAGAATAGAGATGATGAACAGAATATGGGTAGATGAAGACAACTTCTGACCAGGACAAAAGCAAAACCCCAAATCACATTTTTAAAGTACTTCCTCATATTTGAGGGCTAGTCAGTGTTGTAGAGGATATATAATTCTTGATTTATTGTGTGAATTTGGCTCCTATATTCATTAGAATATATTCTACATATTAACAAGGAATAAAAATATAAATACAAACAATATCTAAACTTATCCTAAGTTGTATCCCAACTCAAATCTGTATGAAGAAGACCCTGAAATAAAACACATCACTTAAATAAACACATATATTTAAAATTGTACTTTAAGACACTCGGTTTCAATCTTCTTTTGCTGCAAAACTCTCTTCAATTTTTTCAACTCTTCATCAGTGCGTTCTTTCATTGGGAAGTTCTCAACCACGCAGGGGACGTGAAAGCACTTGGGGGAAAAAAAGACACACAAAAAATAAATCCATTTTAGTACAAGTGTGTGTGTCTGGGGTGGAGTAAAGGATGTTTTCCCTGATTAAAATTAATTCATAGGTTATCATTCATGAGTGAAATTGAAACTGGAAACTTTCTTTAAAATAAAACAATGTATGCCATGAACACTGGTATAAACTTTGCATAAAAATACTGTGCTTTTGAGAAGGATTTACTTCTAGAGCAGTACTCACCCAGGAGTGGTTTTGCCTGCCCTGTCCCCCTCCTCCGCAGTCCCTCAGGGACATTTGACCATGTCTGGAGACATTTTTTATTTTTACTAGTGGGGGAGTTGGGTGCTACTGGGGTCTAGTAGATAGAGGCCAGGGATGTTGCAAAACATCCTACAATCCATAGGGCAGCCCCCACAACAAAGAATTATCCAGCTCAAAATCAAAATGTGCTGCTCTTGAGAAACGCTGTTTTTGAGTAATAGTCACATAAATGCAGGTTGACCATAGACTTCATTAATCCAAATGAGGTGGGGGAGGGGCATATTTGAAAGTAAAAAGGGTGCTGTTAAAAGTTACTCTAAGACCACAGGCATAAACTGGGACTTTTGGTCACCCTATACAAAGAGGAAAATTGTGTTGGGAGGAATCTCAGTGAAAAAGTATGAAAAACAGGGCCGGCTGAGTGGCGCAGTTGGTTAAGAGCTCGCTCAAGAGTTTGAGCTCCGAGCAATAGCGGTTCAATGCCCGGCCCGAGCTGAGCAGCCGCTGAGCTGCCAACAGGTGGCAGGATGGCTCAGCTTAAAAAAAAAAAAAGTATGAAAAACAGCCCTTTAGAAAATGTGAAGGCAGGTACAGGTAGAAATATGAACAACATTATGTTTCAATTTGTGTGGAAGGTGAATGAGGTGGCCTCCTGGAACAGACAGGTATTAACACCTGGATGCAGGTAGTGCCATAGAGGAATGAGGGAAAGAGGTGCTAAGACAAATCTTAAGAGATGCTGGCTTGGAAGCAGAAGGGGACTGAGCAGAGAGGGAGAATGAGACGAGAAAAAGTGAACATCTAGGTATAGAATTCAGTACAGGAAGGGGCAAGGCATGCTTTGAATGCTTTTCTATGTATGGATTTTCTTAAAAATATTTTTAAAAAATTTTCTGCCATAAGTCTTTCAATAAAAATTCTCATTGGCTAAGGTGTTATACCTGGAGTTATATCTGTTACCTTAAGAGCTCGACCTTTCACAGCCATTGAATTCCAGCATTCTTCTTTAATGAGTTCAGCCAAATATCCCTTGGCTAGGTTATGCATCTCTACATCCTTCCTTATCTTGAAGAACACAGATAAAGGGAAAAATAAAAATGAAAATGTGACCTATTAAAGAAAATGAATCTCAGTTGTAAATTAACTAACCAGTCATGACTGCACATTTAGTTTGACCTTCCTTCCCCAGCACAGAGAGCTGCCCTGCACTGAGATGCACTTGGGTGAGAACACTTCCCTGTCTTTGAGAACTTACGCTGAAGTTCAGTCTGGAGGCTCAGGATTCCCTTCCTTGAGGACCAGGATGTCACTACAAACACCTCTAAGGGCAGGCAAGTCCCACACACGAGCCGAGGTGGGTGTGGGGACAGTTGCACAGCCGTGGTGGGCTGGATAGCAGCTAACACACACATTATCACAGATCTGGCTGGTGGCTACAGGGTGGGGAAGCAAACCCACTATGCCAAGCCTTCTTGTTTTATTAGAGAAGTTTGAAATTTGTAATTTTATGAAACTGCCAGGTACCTAAAGTTGGCTTAATTTTTGTCATTGCACATTTAAAGTGCCAGTTTTTGAGCTCTGTCTTGAGGTCTGTACTGCACTTAGTTCTTCTATTACTTATGTCCATCATGAAGTGAATGTTCCACTACTCTTGGGGATCACATAATTCACCTTTCCCCACTTAGAAACTTACATGTTATCTCAACTAGTTTTATCTGCTTTAAGTAATCCTATTACTTAATATTTAAGCGACTAAGTGTTCTTATTTTAATGAAGTTTGTCAAGAGAGCTGGTATGAAAGTGAGATACAACAATCTTTAGTCCTTAGGATCCTCTTCAGGACCTTTTTTGCATTTCATGTTGTTAGCAGAATTGTTAGGAAACTAACTAAGAATAATATTCACCCCCCCCACCCCCGATTAGAAAATGTCTTATTTATTTATCCATTCATTTATTCATATTTATTTTATTTATAGTCTGAACACTTTGCTTAATTTGCATTTTATTCCGTTTTATTTTTACCCATTGAGTTAATGGCTAATACAGTTGTAAATTATTTTTTCTTAAATAAACAGCTGTTTTGGAGTATCAATGTCAGAACCTGTTTGATTCCCAGCCTTCCCCTCTTCACTGCTGAGCTATTGGATCAATGCCTCCAGACTCGGTCCCTAACACTGTGTCCAAGCTGTCATTACCGGGCTTTGTTTGGCCTTTTCCCTATTGCTGAGATCCTGGCCAGGGCTGGCTAATAGCCTGGTCCCTTTAGGACGGGGATCCCCCATGCCACTCTCTCTCCCCAGGGATTAGTATTCTGCTCCCAATGTGCTGAAAGCCAGCTGGGTTTATGGTGCCATCTACTAACTTAACCGTTCTAGGCCGGATTGCCTGGTTCCATTCTCACACCCAGTCTGGGGCGGATATCTCTTCAAAAGCCCAGGAGCTCGGGAAAAACAAACAACATGAGGGAAGCGAGCATGTAAAGAGCCTTTCTCTGCATGGAAGCCTGACTCAGAGGATGAGGGGCGGGGAGGTTCTCGAGAAACATGCAGGAATTTGATAAGTGGCACAGAAGGGTAGATGGGACAGAGGCACAGGGTAGGGGTGGGGTGGGTGAGCAGGGTGGGCTCACCAGTGGTCAGTTGGTCAGCAGGCCAGAGGAGCAGGCTCCTAAGGCCGGGTAGTCAGACATGAGTTTGAAGAGAGAAGCAATGCTACAGTGAGGATGGAGGCAGGCACCTAACCCAGACTCATTGCAGAGCGGTC